ATATTTGACATTTGAAAGCTATTTTAAGCTATATTAGCATAGCTGGTAGAAGTTTCTAGATTTCTTATTTATCTTATACTGCTAAATTCTAATTAATGCCATCTTGTACTTCTAAAGCTAACTGATCTGCAAGAGAAGCAGAGTTTTAAAACACCTCCTCATGCACACACACACACACACACACACACACACACACACAGGGGGAGAGAGAGAGAAAGGGAAAATCATAATGAATTAGAAAGAGCTTGGGAATGGACATCAGGACCTGATTCCTTACTGGATCTCTGCTGCTAACTTTCTGTAAGATCTTGAGCAAGTTACTAAACCTCTTAGGTGTAATTTCTTCATTTTACATTAGGGAGATGGACTTTGGAAGCCTCACGTACCAAATCCACTCACTTGGGTGCTATACCTTTATATCATGAAGTTTGAACCCATGGGCCTTTGATTGTATACCTTCTATTGATCACTTAAATACCACTCAGATTTACTGTTACTTCTGTTTGCACTTTAAAATTATTTTAATTGGTTATTTTGTCACCAAGACAACTCAATCAATACAGAAAAAAAATAGAGTCAGTAAAACAGGAGTTCCCCACCTCCGTATTCCTATGGATGATATTGTGCATATATTTATAACCAGTAGTAGAAGAAGAGCACAGACAAACCAGAACCAACAATTGTTGTAAATGGCCAGCATAGCTGGACTGGGTTTGACTGCCTGTATATCTGCACGGTCTCTTCCGCTGGGTAACACAATTAGCTCTCTGGAAATACTTTCCTGGACTTTTTTTCCATGAGAGAGAGCACGCACATGGAAGCAGGGGAGAAGGGCAGAGGGAGAAAGAGAGGGAGAGAGAGAGAGAGAGAGAGAGAGAGAGAGAGAGAGAGAATCTTAAGCAGATTCCATGCTCAGCGAGGAGCCTGATGCAGGGATCGAACCCATGGTCCTGGGATCATGACCTGAGCTGAAATCAAGAGTCAGATACTCAACCAACTGAGCCATCCAGGCACCCCATCCTTCCTGTACTTTCAATTCAAATATACATTTATATACACAGACACAAAAATGTATAGACATACACAGGTTTTTTTTTTTCTTTTTTTAAGTACAATATAAAAACATTAATTATACAACTCCAAAACTCCAATTTTATTGTGGTCATCTTTAATATTACCATCCATAGATCCACATGAATCCAGATGCATTTTAGAATTTGAAGATATTCATACTTACCTAACAATCTGATGATGACATTTAGGTTGTCTTTTAATATGTTTATATTGTAGAAAATAAGACAGCAAGCAAGCTTGGAATTTAAGAATTGTAAATTGTTGGGATGCCTGGGTGGCTCAGTTGGTTAAGCGTCCAACTCTTGATTTTGGCTCGGGTCATGGTCTCACATGCTTCTTGGTATCAAGCTACACGTCAGGGTCTAGGCAGTGTGAAGCCTGCTTGGGATTCTCTCTCTGCCCCTCCTCCACCCTCCTCTCAAAATAAATATGTAAACATAAAAGAAAAAGAACTGTAAACTGTTATTTATAAGAACTGTATTTCAGAAGGAGGGCACATGCTCAAATGAGGCAACAATACTGCCTTGTTATGCATAACAACTTAAAACTCCCTTCAAGAAATGCCTGGTGATGAGCAAGTAAGAAGTGACCTCAGGACCATCAGGTAGAGACCCACTCAGAGAGTAGAGGGAATACCTTGTAGTCATTAGCACAAAGAGTGCTAATGAAATTAGTCGCGAAGGAAGATGGCGGCGCAGGAGGACTTAGATTCCACCCACACCTGCCTAAATAACCCAGAAAACCGCCAGAAGACTAGCAGAACGGATTCTCTGGGGCCAAGTGTAGATGAGAGGCCCACGGAAGAGGGTAGGAAGGGCAGAGAGGCGGTGAGCGCTACACGGAGAGCTGGGGCGGAAGGGCAGCCTGCTGGCAAAGCAGAGCCCCGGAGTCTGGCTTGCAAAAGCGGAGGGGCTGGACAGAGTGTGTTCCGACAGCAAGCGGGACTTAACATCTGGAAGGTTATAAGTTAACAGCTCTGCTCAGAGAGAGGGAGGGCTGGAGGACAACGGGAGGGAGAGTTGTTGAGCCCCTGACCACAGAGCTCAGCTTGGCAGGGAACAAAGGCGCTCG